ACCACGGGCACGCCGGGCATTTAAACGCTTAATATCTACCCACCATGGGCACCACGGGCATGCCGGGCATATAATACTAATATCTATAACTACCATGGGCATGCTACTTACCTACATGTATCCCTATATATATATATATATTTACCTACTTACCCACGTAAATACCTGCCCTACTTCCTTACTCTTATACCTACCATCTATAATATACATATATATATATATNATACCTCTACTTTCTTACCTACTTACTTACCTACTTGCCTACCTGTCTACTTATGTACATGCCTACCTACATGCCTGCTTACCTCCCTGCTTCTTCTTCATGCCTACCTACCTACTCTGGGTTTAATCTCCCTATGTATGCCTTCTGGTCTACCTGGAATCCTTACTAATGATCTCGTCTACACGCCCCCAATGGCTAAATATATAATGGTAAAATATACCATATATATATATATACATATATATATATTAATCTTTACCCTTACTTACCCTTCTTCTATTATTTTATATATATATATTTTACTCTCCTGCCTACTTACTACCCTAACTATTAACTACCTTACTATCTCTATATCCCCTCCTCCCCCCCCTCCACCTCCTGGCTCACCCCGCGCAACCAACAAAAACTCTCAAATAACTAGCTGTGCCCGCGCGTACTACTGCGCTGCCCTAACCACTTGATAACTGCTTCCACATCCTGGCTATCCACCCTAACTGCTTGTAACCACCGCCGCCACGCTGCCTGCATTGCCGTCCCCCATGGCCCATGCAACATGGACGCTACCATGGGGATTAACACCCCGCGGAACTCGCACCCGCTGGCTCCCTTCCACCCATGGCATATCGTCTGGGGCATCCCGCACGTGAAACATCTAATGTACCGCGCGTACCGGATCCGCCGCCGTACCTGCACCATCCACTGCTTTGCCGCCTGGCTGCTGGCATGCCTGCATGAATATAAATCATGCTGGTCATCGCGCTGTGCCATCGCGCATATATAACATCGATCCTGCCACTGCCGCGCCTCCTGCTCCCTAAATTCCTCGTCTAACCACTGCCGCGCGTGCTCCTGCTGGAAATATATATCCCCTGCCGCCCACTGCGACGCCTGCGATGCCTGGCTGCTGGTGGCTGGAACCCTAACCACTGCTGAACTGCTTGGGCCAACCTCACCTGCTTCATGGCGGCCGGCATCTGCCCTGCTGCTACCTGGAACTAATCTGATCCCTAACCCCAATGCTTCCGCGGTGGCTGGTGGTGTCATGGCGGCCATGGCGGCTGCCTCTGCCTCTGCCTCTGCCTCTGCCTCTGCCTCTGGTGGTGGTGCTGGTGGTTCGTATCTAATCTGGCTGATGATCGATCCACTGCTCGCGGGGCTATCATCTCCTGGTCTGACCCCCTGTCTATCCTCTCCAAACCCTGACCCTGGCTGGGTTGCTGGCGGCGTGGTGGCCTGCGCGGGCCTGCGCGCTGGTGCATCCTTCCAAACCCGAACCTGAACTGCCTGCGAACCGCTTGTGCTGGTGCTGCTGGTGCCGGTGCTGGTGCTGGTGCTGGTGCCGGCCGCATGCTGGGCCTGCCGCCAACCGGGATCGCATCGGTCACACGCCTGCTCCTCCTGCCCGGCATCCCCACACCGCTGCCGCTCGTATCCGTCGATGATCCCGTCCAAATACCCGTCTAAAACCACCCGCCGGCACCCTCCCGCGTGCATGTATCTCTGCACCCGCTGTGCCTCCACATCCCCATCCTCATCCTGATCCTCTACCTCCTTCCCCTCGCGTGCATGGTGACCACCTGCGCTACCATGACCACTACCCTCCTCGTCCATCCCCTCTGGCTGGATGATGATGGCCTCGCTGGCCTGCCCGTCCCGCCCGGCCCGGCCGCTCTCCTGCGCGTAATCTAACAACGTCCGCGGCACGCTAATGTGGATGATCGCCTGGATGTCGGGGATATCCACCCCCATGCCCAACGCGTTGGTGGCCACGATCACGTCCATGGTGCCCTGCATGAACCGCTCCAACACCCCTGCGCGGTCCACCTGCCTGCTGTGGTATGCCTCGCACCTGATTATCTCTGCCATGGCCTGCACCTGCCGTATTGCGTTCGCGTATATCACTACCTTCCCGCCACCGGCCCGCCGCGCCTGCTGGATGCGCGCCTGGATGAATGCAATGATACTGGTATCCTGCTGCCACTGGTATGGGCTGGCCACCGCGGGCCGCCACACGCGGTACGCCACGTTACTGCGGCTGGTGCGTGCGCGATATATATATATCTGGTCGCGCGGGTAATGGATGCGCTGGCTAAACTCGCCTTCCATCTGCGGGGGTAACGTGGCGGTCAAATACACCATTGGGCACCGCGCCCGTACCAACCGGCCTAACTGCGCCATCTGCGGCCGGAAATCCTTCTGGGTATTCATGATGATATGGCACTCGTCCACCACCACGCGGTCCAACCGGCGCATCATCACTAACCGGTTAATAAACGACTGGAAATCACTTGTCACCGCGGACTCGGGCGTCACCAACACGATGGCGGCCTCGTCGGGCGGCCGCTGCCGGTCCCACGCCACGCATGACACCCCTAGCTGCCGGCACCGCCGCGCCATGTCCTGGCGCAACGATATCAACGGGACCACCACGATGGTGGTGCCGCCGGGCACGGCCCACGCGGGCAACATGAATAACATGCTTTTNCCGCGCCATGTCCTGGCGCAACGATATCAACGGGACCACCACGATGGTGGTGCCGCCGGGCACGGCCCACGCGGGCAACATGAATAACATGCTTTTACCACCCCCCGTGGGCATGATCGCCACCACTGGGCTGCGGCCCTGCTGGATCGCCGCCATGGTGGGGCCCTGGACCCCGCGGAACTGCATGCGGGCCTGGCCGGTCATCTGCTGCATCGCGGTGGTCATGTCCATGGCCTGTAACTGCTGCCGCCGCTCCCACTGGTGCTCCTCGGCCTTGGCCTGCCATGGCGCGCGCTTGCGCTTGCCTAATGTCGTGGTGGCTGGACTAACCCTAACCCTAACGTCGGCATGGCCGCTGGGCTGCCCGGGGCTAACCCCAACTGCTTGGGAACCGCTTGGGGCGCGGGCCCCGCTGCCTGCGGGCTGCCCACCATCCTCCTGCGCATGGCTAACCCTAACCCTAATATTGGTGGTGGTGGTGGGATGGTGCTGGTCCGGGCTGGGCGCGCGCGGGGTTTGCAACCATGGTTGTAAATGGCCTGTGGCGCTAGCTGCCTTGTCCGTGGGGACCAACCATGGTTACAAACCACTTGGGGCGTGGGCCCTGCTGCCCGCGGGCTGCCCACCATCGCGACTACCATCGTCCTGGCCATGGCCCTGGCTGTGGTGAACCCTAACTGCTTGTAAACCGCTTGGGGCGCGGGCCCCGTTGCCTGCGGGCTGCCCACCATCGCGACTACCATCGTCCTGGCCATGGCCCTGGCCAGCGTTAACCCTAACCACTTGCAAACCACCGCTTGGGGCGCGGGCCCCGTTGCCTGCGGGCTGGGCCTGACCACTATCATCCTGGCTAAACCCTAAAAACTCATGCCACTCCACGCTGGACTGCCAGAACATGGCCCGCCGGTGGCTGGTCGTGCCCGCCTGCTCCATGATCTGCCGCGCGTACACCATCCCAGCCACATGTGATGAATGCGCCGCCTGTAAATCCGCGATGTGCGCCATCCACTGCTCCGCATCCATCCCCTCCTCATGGTCAGCATCTAACTCCATCGCGGCCGGCTGCTCCTTCTCGTTATGGGCGTCGCTTCTGAACGCGCTGGCCCCGCGCATGAACCGCCGGCTGATCCCAATGGCGATGTCCCGGTACGCGGGGATGTTCAATGCCTGGCCTAACCGCGCCTGCGTCTCGCGCTTTAACACCTCGCGGAACCGGTCGGACGTCCACGCGCGCTGCGTGCCCGCATCGGGGCCCTATAAATACGGGCTGGCTAACCCTAACCCTAACCCCGATGCTGCTGTGGTGGCGCCTGCGGGTTGGCTGGATGGGTGGGCTAACCCTACCCTGGGCGCGCGAGCTTGGGCATCATCCCTACCCCTATCAAACCCTAACCCTAATCCCCTGCCTGCCAGCTGGGTTACTGGCTGCTGCTGCTGCTGCTGCGCTGCCTGCCACGCGGTCAACTGCTCTGTGAACGGTAATACTAACCACATGTACCACACGATCAACTCCCCTACCGCCCGCGGCACGTACTGGTGGATCAGCTTGATGTCATTACTCGCGTGGAACCCCTTGTGGTACGCCGTCACCACCATCACCAGCCCATCCTCGATGAATATATTGCGGTGCTGGCTGGCCTGCGTGTTGACATGCTGGATGCTTAACAGCTCGGGCGCCCGCGCGGGCTGGCCACCCGTGATGTGGATGGCCACTGCTAGCTTCTCCTTGAACCAGGCCACGCGGCTTAAATACTGCGCCACTAGCTGGGCCTGCATCTGGCCGCGGCGCATGAACTGGCGCTGCATGGCGGGCTCGCTGCGCAGCCGCTGCACTAACCACTGTTTCCCATCCACTGGCCACCACGTGCGGGTATCCTGTAAAAAACACCACCCCTTCTGGCCCTGCGTGGGGTCGTCGTACAATCCGGACCATGGGATGGGGGGGAAATCAGTGTTGGTGTTGCTACTATTGCTGGTGGTGTTGCCGGTCGTGGCGTTGGTGGCGGGTGGGGATATATATAATACCTCCCGCAGCAGCTCGCGCGCGGATCCCACCAAGCCATGAATGAACCCGCGGAACGCGCCCATGGTGAAATGCACGTCCTTGTATAATAACTCGTCGCTGCCTATCCATCCCACATGCCCTGGCGCGGTGGTGTTATAATGCACCTTCAACCCGTACGTGCGCCAATCCAGCAACGTCTGCATGGGGCCGTGCGTGCCGCGGATCATGAAGCTGCGCACCATCTGCTGGACGTGGTCATGGAATAGCTTCTCACCTAACCCTAACCCTGATCCTGATCCTGATCCTGATCCTGGTGGTGATCCTGGTGGCGATCCTGATGGTGGTGGCGATCCTTGGGGTGGATCCCCTGGATGGATATGGATATCCACTAGCTGCTCGTCCGCGCTGGTCAACGGCCATGTAACGGGGTGGCTGCTGCCACTGCTGCCTGGCTGCCGGTGGCCCGTTCACATGCGGATAATCTCCTTCGCGTGGGGATCTAACCACAACGCCTTCTGCACCACCATGAAGCGCGCCACCTTGAGCACGCGGGATAATATGGGCGGGTAACTGCTGGGATCGCGCCAGCGCGCCTCGCCCCACCCTTGCACGGCCATGGCGCACACTAGCGCGCTCTCGTACTCATGCGTGTGGTGGCGCTGGTTTATTAGCTTGATATAAAACTCCAAGCATGCTTGCTCTATGGGGGTCATCTGCCACGCCTCCACCTCTGTATCTGTAGCCGTGACCCCATCCCCCTCATCCATCTCCTCGTCCATCTCTATCGCGGTTGGGCTGCTACTACCTAGGCTGGTACTAGCGCTGGGGCTGGCACTCCACACGTCCTCAATGATCTGGCCGGCCCCGGCGAACGTATGTATAACCCTCACCCCTGCCCTGGCTCCGGCTCGGGCTCGTGTATGGGCTTCAGCTTCGGCTTCGGGCCTCTCGACGGCTGGCATGGCTAGCTGCCATAACGCCTGCCACTTCTGGCGCTGCCGCGGCGTCATCCCATACGCGGGCAACCTCCCAAGCCACTTGCCATGGCCACTACCACCGTCACTACTATCACCATTATTATCCCTGTCCTGGCTCGCCTGGGCGGCCTGCGTGCGCGCGATGAATGCCAACACCTGCTGCCATGGCTGCACGTGCTTCTCGATGCTGGCCTCGTCCATGTACGCCTGCAATGGCTTGTATGGCGTCTGGCCGGCCTCCGTACGGGCCGCCTCCACACGGATGCCCGCGCCGCATTGCTGCACGGTCCGCTGGCTACGCCGCGCCAGCTGGTCCATGGCGTCCCAAATCACCCGCACGGCCTGCTTAGTGGGATCTGCCTTGGCATCCTTCTCTACTACCGCCTCCACCTCCTCCACCTCCTTCTCCACCTCCATGGGCGCCTCCACTAGCTGGCGCAAATCCTGTGGGTGCACGCCGTTTAAATACCTCGCCCACCCCGTTATGCGCAGCCACGGGTTGGCATTAGCCGCCTCGTCCGCCTGGATGGTGGCCTGCTCCGCTGCCTGCGCGCGCGCCCGCTCCCATGCAATGACCATGGCATCCACGGCCTGCTGGGCCTGCTCCGCGGGTGGTGGCGGCGGGCACTGGCGGCCGTCTGGGTATCGAATGTGGATGTAATTGGACCCGGGGCTGGATGGGAACACCTTCTGCCATGCCACCTGCGTGTATGATCGTGCTAGCTCGGCCTCCCCGCGCGCCTTCTCCCGCTGGCCCACGCGGCCACCACGGCTCTGCTGGGACCACTGGTGGATGGTCTTCTAGTGCTTCCGCATGGAGTTCATGCTTGTGGCCACGTACCGGCACTGCGTGGGCTCACGCCGGCACAAAACCCCATTGGTGTGACATGGTAAAATGGGCAGTGGCTGGTCTAATACGCGGGGGATCTGGATGGCCTGGCTATCCTGCTGCATCTCCTCCCACTGATGGACCATGTCAGCCACCTGGCTGGCTGCCAGGTAATTATACCCATGCTGCCGCTTTAAATGCTGCTGGACATCCGCGGGCCTTACGGCATGCTTACATGGGCGGCAAATTATAATCTTTAAGCTTGGGATCTTTTCAAATAACTTGTTCTCCATGGTATATAAATTAAATGAAATAAAACCACAAACTAAAACTGCCGACCTGACTAGAATCAAATTATGTAATGCGTGCAGTTCATGCGGGATGTGGAATATTCTAGGTTTGGCATGGGGCTCGTGGCGATCAATTATTTATTTATCTAAACAAACATTTATGGTTTCTATGGCAGCCTAGCTTGCATGGGAAATTGGCCAACCCCTGTGCTATCTCTATCCCTGTGCTGTACCTGTCATCCCATCTAGCGGCAGCGGCAGCGGCTAGCAAGCCAGCGTACCCCAACCTAAAAACAACCCACCACCTTTATACCTATGCCACACCACCATGCTACATCTGCGCGGCTTCTACTTTTGGCTACTAAAAGATAAGTGCCCGCCCTTCCATACAAGCTAGTTTTCAAGGCCCAGCGACCCTTGTGGGGGATACGGATGGGTGACCTTTCTAACCCGAATGGGTGAACTTAGCGCGTGTGTTTCCCGGGCCGCTAAACCTTTTTGGGCCGAACCCCAACCCTGATGGGCCCTCATCGGGGTACCCCCCCTGGGTTAGGCATTCATGATAATATAGCACTCATCCACCACCATGCGGTCCAACCGGCGCATTATCACTAACCGGTTAATAAACGATTGGAAATCGCTCGTCACCGCGGACTCGGGCGTCACCAACACGATGGCGGCCTCGTCAGGCGGCCGCTGCCGGTCCCATGCCACGCATGACACCCCTAGCTGCCGGCACCGCCGCGCCATGTCCTGGCGCAATGATATTAACGGGACCACCACAATGGTGGTGCCACCGGGCACGGCCCACGCGGGTAACATGAATAACATGCTTTTTCCACCCCCTGTGGGCATGATGGCCACCACCGGGCTGCGGCCCTGCTGGATCGCCGCCATGACGGGGCCCTGGACCCCGCGGAACTGCATGCTGGCCTGGCCTGTCATCTGCTGCATCGCCATGGTCATGTCCATGGCCTGCAGCTGCTGCCGCCGCTCCCACTGGTGCTCCTCGGCCTCGGCCTGCCATGGCGCGCGCTTGCGCTTGCCTAATGTCGTGGTGGCTGGGCTAACCCTAACCCTAATGTCTGCATGGCCGCTGGGCTGGCCGTGGCTAACCCTAACTGCTTGCGAACCGCTTGGGGCGCGGGCCCCGTTGCCTGCGGGCTAGGGCTGACCACTATCATGACTACCATCATCCTGGCCCTGGCTGCGGCTAACCCTAACCATTTGCGAACTGCCGCTTGGGGCGCGGGCCCCATTGCCTGCGGGTTGGGGCTGACCACCACGACTACCATCATCCTCGTTATCCTAGCTAAACCCCAAAAACTCATGCCACTCCACGCTGGACTACCGGAACATGGCCCGCCGGTGGCTGGTCGTGCCTGCCTGCTCCATGATCTGCCGCGCGTACACCATCCCAGCCACATGTGATGAATGCGCCGCCTGTAAATCCGCGATATGCGACATCCACTGCTCTTCGTCCATCCCCTCCTCATGGTCTGCATCTAACTCCATCACGGCCGGCTGCTCCTTCTTGTCATTGGCGTCGCTTCTAAACGCGCTGGCCCCGCGCATGAACCGCCGGCTGATCCTAATGGCGATGTCCCGGTACGCGGGGATGTTTAATGCCTGGCCTAACCGCGCCTGCGTCTCGCGCTTTAACACCTCGCGGAACCGGTCGGACGTCCACGCGCGCTATGTGCCAGCATCGGGGCCCCATAAATATGGGCTGGCTAACCCTAACCCTGATGCTGTGGCGGCGCCTATTGGCTTGGTGGATGGGCGGGCTAACCCTACCCTTGGCGCGCGAGCTTTGGCATCCTCCCTATCCCTATTAAACCCTAACCCTAATCCCCTGCCTACTGGCTGGGCTACTAGCTGCGGCGCTGGCTGCTGCTGCGCTGCCTGCCACGTGGTTAACTACTCTGTGAATGGCAACACCAACCACATGTACCACACGATCAACTCCCCTACCGCCCGCGGCACGTACCGGTGGATCAACTTGATGTCATTGCTCGCGTGGAACCCCTTGTGGTACGCCGTCACGGCCGTGACCATCCCATCCTTAATGAATATGTTCCGGTGCCGGCTGGCCTGCGTGTTAACATGCTGGATGCTCAACAGCTCGGGCGCCCGCGCGGGCTGGCCGCCCTTGACGTGAATGGCCACGGCGAGCTTCTCCTTGAACCGGGCCACGCGGGTTAAATACTACGCCACCAGCTGGGCCTGCACCTGGCCGTGGCGCATGAACTAGCGCTGCATGGCGGGCTCGCTGCGCAGCCGCTGCACCAACCACTGTTTCCCATCTACTGGCCACCGCGTGCGGGTATCCTGCAAAAAACACCACCCCTTCTGGCCCTGCGTGGGGTCATCGTACAGTCCGGACCATGGGATGGGTGGGAAATCGGTGTTGCTGGTGGTGGTGGTGGTGGTGGTGGTGGTGGTTGTGGTTGGGGATATATATAATACCTCTCGCAGCAGCTCACGCGCCGATCCCACCAAGCCATGAATGAACCCGCGGAACGCGCTCATGGTGAAATGCACGTCCTTGTATAACAGCTCGTCACTGCCCATCCATCCCACATGCCCTGGCGTGGTGGTGTTATAATGCACCTTTAACCCGTACGTGCGCCAATCCAGCAACGTCTGCATGGGGCCGTGCGTGCCGCGGATCATGAAGCTGCGCACCATCTGCTTGACGTGGTCGTGGAACAGCTTCCCACCTACACCTAACCCTTATCCTGATGGCGATCCTGATGGTAATCCGATGGGCGGATCCCCTGGATGGATATCCACCAGCTGGTCGTCCTCGCTGGCCAATGGCCATGTAACGGGGCTGCTACCACTACCTGGCTGCCACTGTCCCGTCCACATGCGAATGATCTCCTTGGCATGGGGATCTAACCATAACGCCTTCTGCACCACCATGAAGCGCGCCACCTTGAGCACGCGGGATAATATGGGCGGGTAACTGCTGGGATCGCGNTCCTCGTCTAACCACTACCGCGCGTGCTCCTGCTGGAAATATATATCCCCTGCTACCCACTGCGACGCCTGCGATGCCTGGGATGCCTGGCTGCTGGCTGGAACCCTAACCACTGGTGAACTATTTCGGCCAACCTCACCTGCTTCGTGGCGGCCGGCATCGGGCCTGCTGCTGCCTGGAACTGATCTGATCCCTAACCCTAACACTTCCGCGGTGGCTGGTGGTGTCATGGTGGCCATGGCGGCTGCCTCTGCCTCTGCTGGTGGTTCGTATCCAATCTGGCTGACGATTGATCCACTGCTCGCGGGGCTATCACCTCCTGGTCTGATACCCTGTCCATCCTCTCCAAACCCTAACCCTGGCTGGGTTGCTGGTGGTGTTGTGGCCTGCGCGGGCCCGTGTGCTGGTATATCCTTCCAAACCCTAACCTGAACTGCCTGGGAACCGCCTGTGGTGGTGCTGGTGCTGCTGATGCTGCTGGTGCTGGTGCCGCCTACATACTGGGCCTGCCAACTGGGATTACATCGGTCACACGCCTGCTCCTCCTGCCCGGCATCCCCACACCGCCGCCGCTGGTATCCGTCAATGATCCCGTCCAAATACTCGTCTAAAACCACCCGCCGGCACCCTCCTGCGTGCATGTATCTCTGCACCCGCTGTGCCTCTACATCCTCATCCTCATCCTGATCCTCTGCCTCCTCGCGTGCATGGTGACCACCTGCGCCGCCGCCATGACCATACTCGTCCATCCCCTCTGGCTGGATGATGATGGCCTCGCTGGCCTGCCCGTCCCGCCCGGCCCGGCCACTCTCCTGCGCGTAATCCAACAACGTCCGCGGCATGCCAATGTGGATGATCACCCGGATGTCTAGGATATCCACCCCCATACCCAACGCGTTGGTGGCGCTGATCACGTCCGTGGTGC